GTTGTCTCCCTCTGTCCCTCCCTTCCCGGTCTAGATGGGTAAGTTCATGGACTTCTAGGAGCCTCCCTCACCTCGTCTGGACTTTGCCAGCATACAGGACAGACTCCCCACCCCTCTTTGGGGTGGCTGGGAGGCAGGACTCTGCCGGGAAGCGGGAAGCGCCAGGCCACTCCTGCCTGAATTCCCCGCCCACCTCCACTTGTCTGCTGGCTTGGTGACCGAGTCTGGCTGACTTCTCTGTTTCTCAGAGAAGGAGCTGCTGTTCCTGGACAAGGCGGCCGCCTCTGGGTCACCTACACGGTAAGGTGAGCACCCCCCCGGGGCGGCTGGGGTGGGCTGAGCGTTAAGATGGGGCCACCTGGGGCCCCGGGGAGGAGTCAGGCCTGCTCAGGTGAGTCTGGCAGGTGTGGAGACCTGGTGCTGGAGGAGGGAGAAGGAAGGGGCTTGGCAGAGGGCCACAGCCCAGTGGGGGTGAGGACCGGGGGAGGCACTCGGTGAATGCAGCCCATGACCTAGGCTGGGACTCAATATCCTGGTACACGTTTCATGTATAATTGGAGATCATTCAGCACTAGACCCAATAAGAAGCAGTGATGTGGGAGAAGGGTTGAGAGTTTCCTTAAAGAATATGAGCAGAACTTTGCAGCAGGAGCCTGGATCCTTGTGCTGGAGGAAGCAACTCCCTGGGGACAGGTGATGGCGCATCCTAAAAGACTCTCATCTTGTGAAAGTGCCACCCAGGATGATCCAGAGTCTGGGGCAGGACATACTGGAGAGCTGGGTACCAAAGGGTCAGCCATGGGGTTGGGAGGGTCCAGTCTGCAGGTACCAGGCTGTTAGCGCTATGTATTCGGGACCCTTCCCCTTCCTGGAGGCAAAGAGAAGGATGGGGTGAGGACCAACGCAGCCTGGAGAGCTGTCAGCCTGGGAGAAAGGGAGCTGAGAGGAGGGAGGTGTTACCTGCTCCAGGCCAGGTAATGAATGGGCTCCTGTGAGAGGCCCTCTAGGTTGGAAGGTAGGACAAGGGGACTCTGCTGCACCAACCCAATGGTGTGGAGGGGATTTGGACTCTGGTCTTTGGAGGCCCTGGAAAAGCTGTTGCTATAGAAACAGAGTGAGCCCCTCCTTTCTTTCCCTACAGCTGGCCCATCTCCTGCTGCTGGTGCCTCGGTGGGCAGGGGGTAGGTGAGAGCGTCATTCGCTGTGGCACCAAGGATGTGCCTATAGTTCCTTATGTTTGTTTTTCCTTTTATTTATTTTCATTTCTTTCTCTTTCAACTTCAATTCCTCCAGAAGTGAAAAGGAAGAGACCTTGGGGAAAAAGAAGGGGCAGGGAGAGAAAGGGAGTGTTTCTGGAAGCTCTTGTCATCCTTGCTCATCCTTCCCTCTGCCTTCAGTTGTAGCTTAATTATCCATCCTCTGCCCTCACTGGGGGAGGAAACTTGGCTTCCTTATCTGGGAAATGAGATAAAAATAACAGCTAGCTCATAAAGCTGCTGTGAGGATCAAATGAGCTGGGCCACGTAGAGTGCTGTAACACCCTGGCTCTGTGGATGTTCGCTATTATTATTACAGTTATAATTCCAATTATCTTTACTGTGGAAGGACTGCAAGGATTGAACGGGACGTAAAGGGAAGCCTGTGGCTCTGATCCCCATCTCCGCCAGATTCAGGCATCGCCAGCTTACTTAACTCCACTTGTGTGCTCTGCCAGGGGCACTGTCTGAAGGGTTAGATGTTAGGGCTGAGGGAGCAATGTCATGCCTTCCCTTCTTGTCTATGTTTTTAATGAAGACATGGGAAAATAGATTCCGCCCCAGGGCTCCATCCTGAGGATGCAGGGGAGCTTTAGCCCCTGGTCAGGGGGAGCTGGGAAGGGGGCTTAGGTTTCACGGGTCTTAAGAAGGAAGAAAGAAGGTGGGCAAGGGTGGAGCAGGTGCTTGGGGGTGCGGCCTCAGGTTGGGGTTAGGGGTGTGAAGTGAAAGTGAAAGTTGCTCAGTTGTGTCTGACTCTTTGTGACCCTATGGACTATATACAGTCCATTGAATTCTCCAGGCCAGAATACTGGAGTGGGTAGCCTTTCCCTTCTCCAGGGGATCTTCCCAACCCAGGGATTGAACCCAGGTCTCCGCATTGCAGGCTGAGCCACGAGGTGTGAGTGAGGGGATAATTAATTCACCAGTGCAGATCCTAGTGGATCAACCACGGGGACCCTGGGGACTTGGAGGATGTGGTGTCTCACAGAACTCAACCTCAGAGTAAATGAATCCCATGCGCTTAGAAGCTCCTTGAGAGCCGAGTAAGATGTCATTCTGTCAGGACAACGCCTGGGCCACAGTGGGTGCTCAGAAATAGCTCGTTTGAGTGGAAATCCACACAGGAGAGCATGTGATCAAGAATCACTCAGCATGGACTTCCCTGGTGGGCCAGCGGTTAAGTCTCCGAGCTTTCAATGCAGGGGACAGGGAACTGAGATACCACATGCTATGCGGTGTGGCCAAGAAAAAATAAAAAATAAACAGTTACTTAGTATGATGGGAGGACAGCGGTCAGGGAGGGTGCAAAAGTCAAGGGCTGGTGAGTGGGGGCTGGCAGGGGGCACTACTAGGCAAGAGTGGTCCAGGCGAGTGAAGGAGGCAGAGGAGGACAGCGTGAAGCAGAGAATGGCAGGAACAAAGGCCAAAGGTTAGACTTAACCAGCTGCGCAGAGCCCAGTCTTGCTGAGGGTGGAAATTAAGGGAGGAAGAGGATAAGTCAGAGGAGAAGACCTGGGGAAGAGCTGGCATCTTTAAAAAAAAAGTTCTTTGTTTATTTGGCTGCATCATGTCTTAGTTGTGGCATGTGGCCTCCGTATTTGGGGCACTCAACGCTCTCCAGCTGGGGCATGCAGGCCTAGTTGCTCAGTGGCATGTGGGATTTTAGTTTCCCCAACAAGGGATCAAACCCACGGTGCAGTGCAAGGCTGATTCTTAACCACTGGACCACCAGGGAAGTCCCAAGAGCTGGCATCTTTAGGAGGATTCTGCTGGACAGCAAAGGCCGCCATCTGACCCTAGGAACCTGGTGGACCTCACCTGGAGACCCTCACTTTGGGTTTTCTTTCTCTTTCTGCTTCTACTTTTAACTTTTGTTACTCTTGTAGAATGTGTATATATATATATATCCCTGTGAGTTACCCTCTGACTTTTCTGGCAGAAGGAGGGGCATAAATAAAACACACATATTTGGACAGTGTTTATCATCTAAAAGTGATTTTCACATGATCTCATGCCATCCTCATCATCAGTCTGAGAGGCTATTTTTTTTTTCACTTTTAACAGTTTTTAAAAAGAATTACAAGATTAATAGAAAGACATGCTTGAATGTGAAAAATTCAAAGACTACAGAAAAAAGGGTTTAAGAAAATAGAAAGTCCTCTTTCACACCTTCCAGCTCCCCCAGTTTCTCATCTCTTTCAGTGACAACCAATAGGAATAGTCTGGAGGGTGTCCTCCCAGACTTGCATGTCCAAGGCAGGAATCACTAGAACATGTTGCCGTTGAGTCCTTGAAGTAGACAGAATACCAATTGCAATGTGCTGTGAGTGTAAAATACACATGGACTTCAAAGACTTGTAATGAAAAAAGAATGTAAAATATTGCAATAAATTTACATTGATTACCTGTCAACATGATATTATTTTGAATATATTTGGTTACATAAAATATATTAAAAATTAATTTCTCCTGGTTCTTTTCACTTTAATGTAGACTCTAGAAAGTGTAAAAGCACATCTGTGGCTCACATTATATTTTTTATTACACAGCTCTGCTTCAGACCTTTCTCTATCACTTATATGTGTGCATGTGTGCATGCTAAGTCACTTCAGTCGTGTCCAACTCTGTGAGACCCTATGGCCTGTAGCCCGCTACACTCTTCTGTCCATGGGATTCTTCAGGCAAGAACCCTGGAGTGGGTTTCCATGCCCTCTTCCAGGGGATCTTCCCGACCCAGGAATCGAACTTGTGTCTCTTATGTCTCCTGCATTGGCAGGGAGGTTCTTTACCACCTGGGAAGCCCATCAGTTACATATATACACTCATAAATATATATCTACACTTCATCTAGTTTTGCTATCTATGTTAATGAGATCAGAGGATGCCCAGTCCTTTGTGACTTCATTTTCTATTAAAAAAAATTTTTTTGCACATATATGCCTTTTTTGACACACTGCTCTATTTATTTTTAATTTGTTCATGTATTTATTTTTGGCTGTGCTGGGTCTTCGTTGCTGTGCTTGGGCTTTCGCTAGCTGTGCAGCGCGGGAGACACTCCAGTCGCTGAGCACAGGCTTCTCACTGCGCTGACTTCTCTGGTTTCTGAGCACAGGCTCTAAGCGTATGGGCTTCAGTAGCTGTGGTACAAGGGCTCATTTGTGGCAACTTGAGGGCTCTAGAGCTTGGGTTCAGGATCTTCTTGGACCAGGGATCAAACCCATGTCCCCTGTACTGGCAGGCAGATTCTTATCCACTGTGCCACCAGCGAAGTCCTTGCTTTTCTATTTTAAGACTTTCCTCGGTCGGCCCACGGAGATCAGGGGTGCTATTTAGACAGAGGTAGAAACTGAGGTGCATTAAACAATAGGACAAGCTCAAGGTGACATGACCAAGGTGGCTTGTGAACTCACATCCTCTAACTCCAAACCCAAGCTCTTCCTGTCTAGTGAGAGGTGAAATTAATTAGGTCACAGGGAGTCACAGCACGTTCTTGAGGGAGAGAGGGAAAGAGAGAGACAGAGGGAGGGAGGGAGAGATAGGTGAAGTTCTGTTAAGGAAATTGATCTGACTGGGGTGCATGGGGTACGCTGGGATGAACACAGTTTGCTCCCTCCTCATTGCAGCCACTTAGAAGCCAGGTCCTAGCCTCCAAAGGCTCACCTGACACTGACTCTTTATCCTAGGCCCTTGGCCTTGGCTGGCACAGGGGAGCAGGGTAACCGGCAGCATCAGGGGACCAGGCGGATGTGCTCCTATGAGAGTTCCTTCCAGCCCGCCCAGTTCCTACTGCTGGTGGGAGTTCCGGTGGCGAGCGCCGTGCTCCTGGTCCAGTGCCTTCGATGGCGCTGTCCTCGCCGGCTGCTGGGGGCCTGCTGGAAGCTGGAGAACCAAGAGGAGCCAGAGTCCCATCCCACTCCCCCACCGGAAGATGAGTCCTCCAGGGCAGGCCCGCCAGCCACGCTGCAGGAGGTGGCCACCTTCTATCAGGAACTGCACACGCCCACCCAAGGCCAGACTGTCATCCGGCAGCTGATGCACAAACTGTTGGTGTTTTCCGCTCGAGAGGTAGACCACCGCGGAGGCTGCCTGATGCTCCAGGATACGGGCATTTCCCTGCTCATTCCACCAGGTAACAGCACCCAGCTCCCTTCTCAGCCTACAGCTGTTCATGTTACATATTAGACAGGGGCGCCAACCCCGAGGGAGCACCATTCAGAGACACCTTCATAACTTTGAAAATTGTATGTTTCGTGTAAGTCTTTCTTGACTCCAAAGATGGATATACTACACATCTTTATGACAGTTTCATGGCAGGTGGAGGCAAAGGGCCTTGTTCTAATGAACAGTCTGTTATGACAATTCTCCCAAAAAGGGAAGTAAAGTGTCTGGAGGAAGAGCACCCTTTGCACATTCACACAAGGGCCTGAATGAGCTCGCAGCATCCCTTGGAGGAGGGGGATGACTTGCTCGCGGTTTCATCCCAAGTCAGTCACCACCCTCTTGTTCTCCACACTGCCCCCAGCCCCATGTGCCCTGTGGTGCCCTCTCTCCAGGGCTCCTGGCCCGCCTCCTCTGCAGCTCTGGCCTGGCCTCCTCTGCGGCAGGGGTGTGCCTGCCTGCCAGGCCCCCCTCAGCGCTCCGTCCTCCCCAGGTGCTGTATCTGTGGGCCGCCAGGAGCGGGTGTCGCTGACCTTGGTGTGGGACCTGACGGATGCCCCCTCGCTGTCCCGGGCTCAGGGGCTGGTGAGCCCCGTGGTGGCATGCGGCCCCCACGGGGCCTCCTTCCTGAAGCCCTGCACCCTCACCTTCAAGCACTGTGCCCAGCAGCCCAGCCAGGCCCGCACCTATAGCAGCAACACCACCCTGCTGGACGCCAAGGCCTGGAAGCCGCTGGGGCGGCCGGGAGACCACACGTCCCGAGATGAATGTCGCATCCACCTCTCCCACTTCAGGTGGGCGCCTGCCCGTCGGCCTGGACTTCCAGTCCCCTCTCTCTGCCTGCCTTGTCCTCACCTCTCTGAGGGGACTGCCCCTTATTCTGTCCAAGCTGGCCTGCAAAGCCCGTATCCCCCTGTCATTCCCTAGTCCCTCTGTCCGAGTGCCTACGGCTGCTTATCTTGCTCCCACCCCATCCAGGACTGTGCATCCCCCCATGGTCCATCTGTCTGTCTAGAAAGGTCTGGCTCAACCCCGGTCCTCTGTCTAGAGAGGCCTGTCCCGCCTCCACCTCTGTCTCTATTATTGTCTGTCTCTTCCCTGTGCCCTGGTTCAGGACTGTCCCCCCGCTGTCTAGGGCACGTCGCTCCCCTCCAGTTCTCTAAGACTCCATCCCACGTCATGTCTGTCCTTAGCTCTGTCCTTCCAGGATCTTGGACCCTCTGCCTCCCAGTCTCCCTGCCACCCATGACCAGAGCAGGGCCATGCATGGTGGCCCTAAGCTCACCTTCCATCTTTCCTACACTGACCCCGTGACTCACTGACATGACACACATTCCATCCCTCTAGCCAAGCCCTCCACCCTAGTTCTTCCCTACATGGCCTGGAATGTTCTCCTTTCCTCCCTGGAGGCCCCCACAGAGGCCCCTGGTGCAATGGGAGCTGGGTGGCTGGTGGGCTGGTGTCCTGGCCTGCCTGGCCCCATCGCATGTGGTCCCCGCCACCATCTCTCTCCGCAGCCTCTACACCTGTGTGCTGGAGGCGCCGGTGGGCCGGGAAGCCCGAAAGTGGCTGCAGCTGGCCGTGTTCTGCTCACCTCTGGCCCCGGGGCAGTCCCACCTGCAGCTGCGCGTCTACTTCCTCAACAACACGCCCTGCGCCCTGCAGTGGGCCGTGACCAACGAGCAGCCACACGGCGGGCGCCTGCGCGGGCCCTGCCAGCTCTTCGACTTCACCGGGGCCCGAGGGGACCAATACCTGAAACTCAAATACATCTCAGAGGGTGAGGGAGGCCGGGCCGGGGGACAGCGCATCGGGGAGCCCCGTGGAGGGAGGGGTCCAGGCCTCCCCTGAGGTGGAAATCTGGGTGCCTCAAGTTTCTTTTTGAGGCTCCTGGGCATGCAGCAGCTTCGGGGGGTTGGTGGGGGGGGCTTCTGGCTCCTCCTGCTGCCTCCTGGAGCCCCAGGCTTTGCTCAATTCCTTCCTCTGCTGCACTCAGCCCTGGTCCTTCCGTGGGAGGACAGATGATGCTGGTGGGCAGCGGGAGGAGAGGTGCTGCCTTCGCAGGGGCAGGGAGGGAGGAGGAGGCTTCTATGGTCCTGCCTGGTTGAAGCCCACATCACAGGAGAAGGCCCAGTCTTCTCTGTCCCCGTTCCTTTGTGGGTTGGCTGTGGGAATTGTTGATGGGGCCAAGGGTGGTGTTGTGTGGGGTGTGGAGGGTGTGCATGCATGCTGCTTCTAGAGGCTGGGTGGGTTGGGGTTGGATGCGAAGGTGGAAGGGCGGAGGGGTAGGTCCATGTGCTGGTAGAAGGAAGAGCCTTCACAGGGTCCCCGCCCAGCCCGTGGGACCTGCCACCCACTGGAGTCACCCTCCTGCCTTTGCTCCTGCCCTGCCCCTCCCCTTGGCGCCCCGCACGGGGCCTGACCCAGGGTGACCTTACACGAAGGTCACCCTCCTGAGGCCCCCTGCCCTCTGCAGGTTGGGAGAACGTGGACGACAGCAGTTGTCAGCTGGTGCCGCACCTGCACATCTGGCATGGGAAGTGCCCCTTCCGCTCCTTCTGCTTCCGGAGAAAAGCAGGTAGCCCGGGAGCCCCATGTCCCCCTCCTCCCCTCCCCGCTCCGCTCCTGGTCACCCTGGAGCCCTGCAGCGCCTCGTTCGGCCACGCGTGCAGACCTTCTCTTTAAAGATAGGGGCCACAGCAGATCTTCGCAGAGATGGATGGGGTGGCCGGCACAGCAACTTCCGAGTTCCAACATCTTTCTGTGGAAGTCTATTTTGCTGTCCTGCTCTCCTCTCTTGGATCTGTCCCTCCCTCACCTGCTACGTCTCCTTTTTTGTAGCCAATGAGAACGAGGACTGCTCGGCGCTGACCAATGAGATCATCGTCACCATGCACACCTTCCAGGATGTGAGTTGCAGCCGAAGGGCAGGGCTGGGGGAGTGGTGGACGAGGTAGGCCAGGGTCTGGTGCCCAGCAAGTATGATTCTGATCACACATTCAAGAGGTGAAGAGGGCATTCTTCCAGGGGCAGAGACTGCCTGGCCTCCAAGTGACGCTCCATCTTTGACTCTCCTGTCCATCCATGGGAGGATCCAGCAGGAGGGTAAAAGAACCAGACCCTACATGAACGCTTTAGGGGTTTCTTCCAACCTGGAGGAACTTGGGCATCAAAGAGAAACGCTTTCCTTCTGCACAGATTGTCTGCCTCTGGGAGACGGTGCTGTGTATCTTCAGCTGGAGAGTGACCCAGGAGGAGGAGGGGCCTGAGTAGGTGGGATGGAAGTTAGAGATCCTGCCCTCTTGCAAGAAGACAGGAAGAAATCAGGATTGGGGAATCTTTGGGGAACCATGTGGCATCTTATTGGAGACTAGGCAGATACCCCTCGAGGTATCCTTCGGGGAGGAACCAAGGAGAGGAGCAATGGAGGAAGGGGGCACGTATGCCTGAGTTCAGCGTCTCTATTATCAGATGACCTCCCCTGCCCCTGACCCCACTCAGCACTTCTCCTGGTGCCCTAGGATGTACTTTGTTTGGTCTTCATGTCCCAGGTCCCAAAGAGCTCAGTGAGCAGACTCAAGGCTGAAGGCTCCGGGGTCGGGGAAGCAGAGGGTAGAGGGTATTGGTTAGGGTGGGGCTGTGTCTCCTGGCTGAAGGAGAGATGGGAGGAACAGAGGTGGGTGCCCTGGCTTTTTGCTCAAGGACGTCTCATGATCCCTAAGTGTGCTCCCTGTCCCCCTGTTGGCTCAGGGCTTAGAGACCAAGTACATGGAAATCCTCAGGTTCCAGGCATCGGAGGAGGAATCCTGGGCAGCCCCACCCCCCGTCACCCAGCCACCCCCCTGCAATAGGTGAGGTGGGGGTTGCTTGGGCTGCTGTGGGGATGGGGGATGTTTGGGATTGCTGTCCCTGGGCTTGCAGAGCGAGCACGGCGTTGAGCTGTCTGCGGAACCAGGCTGGGTCTCTCCATCCTCCCCTTCAAGGACACCCTTTCCTCCACCGCAGGCTGCCCCCAGAGCTCTTTGAGCAGCTGCAGATGTTGTTGGAGCCAAACAGCATCACTGGCAATGACTGGCGGCGACTGGCCTCCCACCTGGGGCTCTGCGGTATGAAAATTCGGTAAGACGGATAAGGTCTGCGCGTGGGAGCGGAGGGTGGACTGGGGGTGGTTCTCAGGACCCCTTGGAGACTGGACCATTCACAAGAGAGTGACTTAGTCAGGGCATGGCTACTCCCCACCCTACTTCCCAGAAGAGAATTGATTTCATTGGCAGTGATCTCATTGGTTTGGGTCCAACCATCCTTATTCTCATGGCTTCAAAGAGAAGAGGACATGACAGGTGAGAGAGGAGAAAGCCAGGGGAGAGGACCAGGGGAAGTAAAAGGGACTCCGCAGGAAGGTGTTGGACATCTTTCTGTTTATCACCGTATTCTTGGTACCTAGAGCGATGCCTGGTTCATGGCCAGTGTTCAGCACATAAATATTGGCTCAGTAAATATTTAATAATAAATCAGTTTACATGTAAGTCGCTGGTACATACTGAGTGCTTGACATGCTGTGCCCTGTGGGGTAGAATGGAAGACTACAGGATAATGTGTGTAAAGCCTGTAGCTGAGTGCCTGGCACACGTTAATTCAGTAAACATCAGCAAAACAGGCAGTGCAGCTATGGTCTCTGTGAAGAGAGATGAGTAGACTCATTCTGAGCTGAGCCCCAGCACTCAGAAGATGACAACAGTGGTCAAAGTCCACATCCAGGAGATAGGATGAGAGGTGGATCCTTAAAACAAGGTAGATTTTAAAATCACCCACTTAAAAGACTTCCCTGGTGGTTCAGTGGTTAAGACTCTGTGCTTCCACTGCAGGGGGTGTGGATTCAACCCCTGGCTAGGGAATTAAGATTCTGCATGCCATAGGGTGTGGCATAAATAAATAAATAAAAATACTCCCTCAAAAGCAAAAAAATAAAACCACTCTTTTAGTAAACATTTATCAAATACCTACTAAGTCCTGGAAAAACTATACTAAGCATTGGGATACAGAATGAACAAAATATGGTCCGAACACCAGGGAGGTCACTCTGTACTAAGGGATACAGAGAGCTTAAAAAAATCAAGGGATGTGTTCCTTTGACATTATTTTTATGTACTCAATATTGTGAGGCAAGTTGAAAACAGGCATGAAATGGCTAAAGCAAGAATAATAAAGACTTACATTAATTACAGTTGACCTGCACAACGTGGAGGTTAGAGGGGTGACCCTCCATGTAGTTGAAATCCTGGTATAACTTACAGCTGCCCTCCACGTCCACAGTTCAGCCTCCACAGATTCAACCAACCAGGGACCATGTAGCATTGTAATATTTACAGTTGGAAAAAATCTGCATGTAAGTGGACTCACACAGCTCAAAGTGGTGGTGTTCAAGAGTCAACTATATATCTCAATTAAATAAAAAAGAATAATAAAACCTAATGGGAGTCTGGACTAAGGGGTGCAGAATGGTCTCCTCCACCTGAGGTGGGAACAAGGGTTTCAGGTGGTAGGGAAGTAGGGGATCATCTTGTAGGGGAGGGGGGACAGAGGGTCTGGTATGCTTAAGGTGGGAAGGAAGGTTCAGGATGGGAGCCGGGAGAAAAGGTCAGAAAAACACAGCAAGGCCAAGTGGTGGGTGGGCAGGGAAGTCAGGAGAGTGGGCTTGGTTAGCAGGTGAGAGACTCTGGAGGGGTTTTGGAGCAGGGGAGGGTCGTGGGTAGGAAGAACTATTTCTGCAGTGGTGGGCAGGATGTGGCCTGGGAGAGAGGGAGGGTGGGGAGTGTTTGGGGTGGGGGTAGGGCGCAGAGAAGGCAAACAATATCACAGCTGGATATTCTGCATCCTCAGAGGTCTTCTCATCCAAGTCCTGGTGTGAGAAAAAGAGGAAACTGAAGCCTAGAGAGGAGTAGACTTTGAGCCAGTGCAATCTCAGATGTGGCCCGGGCAATCTCAGATGTGGCCCAGGCAATCTCTGATTTCAAAGTCCGGGGTCCTTCCACCATCTAGAGTGCCCCGGAAGGCAGACATGAGCAGGATGAGGGCCAGAGCTGGGGGGAGGTGGGTGGTGGATCTCGACGCAGGGTCCCCTCCCTCCTCTCACCGCTCCCCCCTCACCCACCTCCCGGCCAGGTTCATGTCCTGTCAGCGCAGCCCCGCGGCAGCCATCCTGGAGCTATTTGAGGAGCAGAATGGCAGCCTCCAGGAGCTGCACTACCTCATGACCGTCATGGAGCGGCTGGACTGCGCCTCCGTCATCCAGAACTACCTGAACGGGACGCAAAGCGGCAGCCCACCCCGGCTGCGCGCGGGCGCCCAGGAGAACCAGGGCCTGGAGCTGGACGAGAAGCTCTGAGCGCCCCGCCACGGCGCAGGGTGTGGCTCTGTCCCCCGGGAGGCCGTGGATGATGTGCCCTGACCCCCAGGAAGCAAAACAGCTGCTCTTCATGGCTGGACTCACCGACCTCATCAGGACCCTCGGGTGGTTCCCCCGGGGCCACAGCGAGGCTGGACGCCACTGTGAGCCCCCGCCTTTCCGGACCACCCTTCGTGCCCGCTTCATCCTGTGTGCAGAGCCCTTCCTGGCCGGCAGGGGGCGCAGGAGCCCAGGAGATGGCCCCAGCCTGGCGGGCCTCCCGGAAGCTGTTTAATAGACCAGTGGGCTGTTAGACTGCCCTGTCGGCACTCCTTGGGGACTGGTTAGTTCGCAGAGAATTCCCTGAGCACTTAAGTGATACTCAGCATTGGACTTGGGTATCATGGGAACTCCTGGAATAAATGAGGTCGGGTTTGGACCCTTGCAAAACCCCTCTGGGAAAGATTGAAGCCCAGGAGGAGAAGGGGACGACAGAGGGTGAGATGGTTGAATGGCATCACCTGCTCGATGGACATGAGTTTGGGTGAACTCCAGGAGTTGGTGACGGACGGGGAGGCCTGGCGTGCTGCAGTCCATGGGGTCGCAAAGAGTCGGACACGACTGAGCAGTTGAAATGAACTGAACTGAACTGAAACCCCTCTTGGGGGAACCAAGATGCCCTCTTGTAGGAGCAGATGTAGGAGCAGAGGGCAAACTCCCAGCACTTGCCCTGTTGTTAGGGATATGAATGTCATATGAACTGTACCAGCCTAAGGAGTTGGGAAGGGAGGGCGCTGAGTATGGGCTGGAGCAGTGAGAAAGCCTTGTGGAGGATGTTGGAGAGATGGTTTGCAGAGTGGCTCAGAGATCTTCAGGTGGAGAAAGGCGGGGAGATGACTGGACTTACAGTAGGAGCCAAATGCTCACGGGGTGTGGAGGCCTCAAGGAGCCCAGCACGGTGAGTGTGAGGCAGGGCAGGACCAGAGTTCAAGGCCAGATCTAGAGATGGGCAGTCACAGCTGCTGATCCGCCTGTCTCCCCTGACTTCCTTTATCTCTTTCCTCTCATTCTTGCCTTATCTCCCCCTCTCTCTGCCATTATCTAAACTGGACAGAAACTTTCAAGATTATTACTGTTGCCCAAGCTTTTAATCTCTTTATCCCGAACTGTGCATTTTAAGTCCCTCTGACCTCCTGTTGCTGTCACTGGCCCCTGCAGTGTCTGCATCCCTGAATCTCTGTCACTCCCGAGTTTGCTCTCTTCTTTTTCTCTCTGAAACCCACGGTCATTCCCCTCAGGCAAGTGTCTCCAAACCATGGTTAAGTATCAAGGCTACTGAAAGACACCAGACTGCCCTAGGAATGGATGGGTGGGGATTTTATCTTGTGAAAGAAGAAAGTGTCTGACTCTTTGCAACCCTATGGACTATAGCCCACCAGGCTCCTATGTCCATGGAACTTTCCACGCCAGAATACTGGAGTGGGTTGCCATTCTCTTTTCCACAGGATCTTCCAGACTCAGGGATCGAACCCAGATCTCCCACATTGCAATCGGATTCTTCACTGTCTGAGCCACCAGGAAAGTCCTTTATTGTGTGAGTCAGGATCCAGTTTAGGATGAGGAGAGACAGGATAGGGATTAAAGAACATCCCATTTAGTCAACTATTTATTCAGCACCTACTGTGTGTTAGACGCTGTATAGAAAATAAATCAGCAGGCTGGGTCCTGAAAGGAGAACAAAGGATTTGACTCTATTCAAGCAGTTCTTTTGTTGGCAAATAGGTGTTGTTAAATTTTTCAAGAGCAGGCAAATGATCTCTCTGGCAACACTAACAATTTGCTTGTGTATTTAATTAAAAAATATTAAAGCTTTTTCTATGATGAACAATATTGTATAATAAAATATGAAAATTGCCTTTCTTTGTTACTAACTGTATTTTGCTCAGATTGGTAAATTCAGATGTGGATATGAATGATTTTATGTGGTAAGGCTGTACCGATGGGAGCAGGCTGGAGAGACATGTTTTATAGATTGTACTGCTAGTATGGATGTCGTCTGGGTCCAGAAAGGTAGATTAGGGAGGTTCGCTTTCCATTCTGTTAGAAGCAAGCCTTCAGGGTGGGACCCTCCCACTGCCTACCACCCCACCCCCTTCCTCCTCCCCTAACCCCATCCATCCTGTTAGTCCTCCCACTCCACTGGGGGCTGCCAACTACTCCAGGCTGGTACCTTGGCCTTCTCCCTCTTCATTTGGCTCAGGATTGACTACTAAGAGCATCTTTCTCACCTGGAGTCTGGTACACTTTCCCCCTTAGCTCCTATTGTTTCCCTTTGTTTTCCACACCAGCCGAAGGCATTTTTGTGTTACTCCCTACCCTGGAACAAATCACTTAGGGGTTTTAGGTCTTGTGGAATTGTGAATAAAAAAGAGACTCCGATGTATAGAACAGACTTGTGGACTCTGGGAGAAGGTGAGGGTGGGATGTTTCAAGAGAACAGCATCGAAACACGTATATTATCTAGGGTGAAACAGATCACCAGCCCAGGTTGGGTGCATGAGACAAGTGCTCGGGCCTGGTGCACTGGGAAGACCCAGAGGGATTGGGTGGAGAGGGAGGTGGGAAGGGGGACTGGGATGGGGAATACATGTAAATCCATGGCTAATTCATTTCAATGTATGACAAAAACCACTGCAATGATGTAAAGTAATTAGCCTCCAACTAATAAAAATAAATGAAAAAAAAAAAAAAGCCATGGGGGATGTGGGGAAGGGTGGTTCTAAGATGGGAGAGGCTGCCTTCTGGCGGCAGCCTTAATCCATCAGGATGGGCTCACAGTGCTGGGAAAACGAGTCTTGGAAATCTTGAGGTAGGTGGCAAGCTGCCTGATGCCTGTAGGGTGGATCTTTCCTTTCTCAAATCAAACCCAGTTGGCACATATTTACCAGTACCTAAAGCCAAGAGAAGGCATGTTCCGATGGCACTGGGACACTTAGCAATTCTAGTGCTAATTAGCTTGGCTCTTCCTTCTCTGGCTTCAGTCTCTACACTGGGATGAAGCGACCATGTTCAAGGCTCTCCAAGGGCCTCTTTGGATTTTATGGTCCTGTGCTGAATGGCACACGGGAGGCCCAGGGAATATCCACTTGGGGATTTTTCTTTGTGTATTGCCTTTAAGTAGAGCGGTTGGTCACCACTTGTGGCCTTATCTCTGGCCCTTTCCCAGGTAGCTTACCTCTCTGGTCTCTAAAAATAGCAAATTTTTAGCAAAATGTGACTTCTCTTATGCATGTTGTAGAAGCCCATGCCTGAACTTTCACCTGTTGGGTTAAGAGTCAGGAGGGGAATGAACAGTAAAGGTCAGGTCCAGGTCTGCAGGGTGAGAGGCTGCAGTGCCCAGAGGTAACACACATCATTGGCTCCCTGTCTGCCTGCGGAATGACATTCATGCCAAGGTCAGATTCAAGATGTCCCTCAGAATACTGTGAAAGCCACATACTGTGAAGCCTACATTTTCTAGTAGTCATATCAAAAAATGTAAAAAAAAAAAAAAACTGATGAAGTCAGGTTGTAATAGTATATTTTGTTAAACCTGGTCTTCCCTGGTAGCTCATATGGTAAACAATGTGACTGCAATGCAGGACACCTGGGTTCAATCTCTGGGTTGGGAAGATCCCCGGGAAAAGGGAATGCAACCGACTTCAGTATTCTTGCCTGGAGAATCCTATGGGCAGAGGAGCCTGGTGGGCTACAGTCCATGGAATCACAAAGAGTCAGACACAACTAAGTGACTTTCACTTCACTTCATTTAACCTAATATATCTAGGATAATATAATTTCCATGTGTAATCAATATAAAAATTATTAATAGTGTATTTTGCATTCTGTTTTCATAAAGTATTTGGAGACTGGTGTATATTTTATATAAAATGTACTACATTTTCATTGGAAATATATGATCTGTATTTAGCTTTCATAAAATTACAGCTGAAAAAGTGCATTTACATACACAAGTTAAGTGAGCTGAAAGTTTTCCAAAAATGAAATGAGGTATGAACTAAAAATTTTCAAACAATTAAAATGAAAATTCAGTTCCTCAGCTGCACTATTCACATTTTAAGGGCTTCGTAGGCTCTAGGGCTCTGGCTAGTGGGTGCTGTGATGGACAGTGAAGATCTGGATTATGGATCCAGCTGGGCATAACTTTATAGTATACTTGCCTATTCATTAATTCATCAAACATTTGTTGAACACCTGCCCTGTACAAAGTGTTGGTTATAAAAAAATCAATGAAGAAGAGCACTGTTTGTTAGAAGCTCCTGGGACGGTGGGAGTCAGAGACGAGCACTTGCCTTCTATCTCTCTCTGCACTTGACTCAAGAGGGCAGTAGGAGATGAGGTCTAGGCAGACACTGTGCTGTAAGGATGCCTCAGATGGCAGTGTGGTACTGAGGGATGGATTCACAGTCAGGTATTCCTGGCTCACCAGCTCCAGCACATCAGATTGGTTCTCAGTTGCCAACAACAGAATCCACTCTTACTGGGGATTACAGATGGGGCATTAACCTGAAGAGTAAACAATCATTTGACGGGCTGAGAAATATAATTGAAGTGAAGCTTCCAGACTGTTGCCCTAAACTGTGCGGAAGCGTCAGCCCAAGGGGAGGAAACTGATATTACTGTGGCTGCTGCTACTGAGTGCTAGAGAGCAGAATTTCAACTTCATGCAACCACTTCTGCCACCACTTCTGCTACTTCTGAGTTAGGAACCAGATCTTACCATCACCTCTGAAAGCTGAGGCTTCTGCTGCCATCCATGTCAGCAAAAGTGGAAGCTCCATGCATTGCCCACCTTTTCTTGCTACCCATTTCTGAATCAGATCTTAAGTGTGTGTGTGTGTATATGTGTGTGTGTGTGTGGGGGGGGGCATCAGGGAGTCAGAGCCCAGATCACATGGTGAATCCTAGCTACAAAGGACTTTGGAAATTTGAATTCTGACTTTCCTCTTGGGAAGAAGGGACTCCTTGTATGCAGATATCCCCAAATATGGAAAAAGCTACTCAAAGTTGATGGAAACTGTGAATCTGACAGGTGTCCACAATAGCCAGGGTGTGGTTAATGCTTTGGCTCCAGGGAGCAAACTCTCCTCATGAAAAGAATCATGCCCTCAACAGGTGTTAGCCTTATTCCCTGACTTGCAGAATCTTCTCAATAAAGCACAACTGCACACATCCCTCGGGGTATCTCTCTGATTCCTGCACAATCCAGGATCAGACTGGACACGGTTCATGAGCATGCAGCAAAAGTTCGCCAGCAAGAGGGAATTGATCTACTCAGCACCTTCTCCAGCCCCACTTGCCTTCCTGTAGTTCAGAGGCTGAAGACAAAACTTACACTTCCCACATTCGCTGGCAAATAGGGATATAGATGTGCTTGTATGTGAATGTTAGTTGCTCAGCTATGCTCCACTCTTTGCAACTCCATGGACTGTAGCCGGCTAGGCTCCTCGTCCATGGAATTCTCCAGGCAAGAATACTGGAGTGGGTTGCCATTACTTTCTCCAGGGGATCTTCCTGACCCAGGGATTGAACCCAGG